ATGAATACTGTTTACTATAAAACTCTCTTTTTTTTTCACACAGGTTTATCAAAAGTTATAAAAAGTTTGGTGGCCCTTTAGAAAGGTAGGTAGCTGTTTTTCATAGCTTCATATGGTAGCAGTTGCACGTCGGCCTCTGTCATTGATGTGAGTGTCTGTGTTTTACAGGCTTGACGCTATCGCTCGCGATGCTGAGCTGGTGGATAAATCAGAGCATGATCTGCGGCGGCTGGCTGAGACCGTACACAACGGCTGTTTGAAAACGCTAAGAGAGAACCCCTGTGGACCCGAACGAAGCTCAGGCAAGAGCAGCACAAATCCACACTGACTGATTACTGAGGTGTCTGTGTAAACTATGGCCTGCAGGGCGTGAATTTGTGGCTGGATTATTGTTTTGTGCATTTCACTCAGTCCACATAATCCTGCAGTCATGATGTGAGTTTACCTCACCTAAATGAAGAGCACATTTAATTGCATGGGTGCAGTTATAACATTTTGGATGTCATTATATTGCATGAGTAAGACAATAGTAAAATCTTTGCACTCCGATCAAAGTGAATAAATTCGTCCTAATATGAAGCATTCGGGATGGGAAATCCCCCTCCCTCTTTTAAAGAAATCCATTTGGAGGCCTGACTTGATTTTGTTCTGTGCTGGTTCATATCAGGAGGCAGGCGAGGGAAGGTGAAGGGACCCACCTTCAGGATCTCAGGGGTTCAGGTCAATGCTAAGCTGGTGATCTCTCATGAGGAGGAACTGGCACCATTACACAAGGCCATTCCCGCTGACCCTGAGGAGAGGAAGAGGTATATTAGCATTCACATGAGTTCAGTGCAATTCATGCAGCCCTAGTCTGATTTCAACACCGTTTTCTTTTGTTAGTGTTTGTCTCAGATGTCTTTTGCTTGGCTTTGCTGAGGCAGCATTAAGCTTTTAACCTGTATTTTGTCATTTTATACTTTGTGAGGGCAGAAAAATGACTTAAGGCAATCTTTTTATTTATTTTGTAAATATTTATAGGTATATAATCCCATGCCACTCAAAGGCAGCTCATTTTGACATTGAGTGGGGTAAAGAGGACGACTCCAGCCTGCTTATTGGGATTTATGAGTACGGTTATGGCAGCTGGGAGATGATCAAGATGGACCCAGACCTCAACCTCACACATAAGGTGCAGAAACGCATGGAGAATCAGTGGTGTTTGATTTAATATGCCATTACACTGTTCTGTCCTTAGTGATTATGTATGGCATTTAAATGATATATTGTTACAAAACATGTTGCAGCTCCTTCCTGATGACCCTGACAAGAAGCCACAGGCCAAGCAGTTGCAGACACGAGCTGACTACCTCATCAAATTACTGAGCAAAGACCTCGCCAAGAAGGAAGCACAGAAACAGGCAGGCACAGTGAGTCACGCAGATTACACACAATCCTCTCAAATGACTGCACAACATCACTTGGCTCACTAAATGCAGACGTAAGCAACAAACGGTGTTCTGTAAAGTGGCTAAACTGTAACCTATAACAATTACGTTGTCCGTGAACAGCTCATACAATTTCATTTGCTGTTCTGTGATCATGCATCATATTGATCGTACAATACAATCACTGATGTTCCTTCTGCTCTATAGGCAAATTCACGCAAGAGAAAACCACGGGGCAAGAAGAATAAAGCGGTAAAGCCGAAGATGGATGATGTGACGAACAGTCTGTCCTCTGCACCGCCATCAGATAAGAGCTCTGAAGAAGAGGATGAGAAGGAGGAAGAGGAAAAGGTTTGTGTTGCTGTAATAGTGCAGGTGTACCATGTGAGGGTAGAGGCTGAGGCCGTTGCTGTTATCTTAATGCTAACAACTCCTAGAGCAGTGATTCTCAACCACGGAGGCTTCAGCACACTTACAAGTGGGCTATGAGATGGCTTAAGATTTATTATATGTCAAAACAAGCTTTTTTTTAAGCTAAAACAGCTAAAGCTTACAAGCTAATTCAGCTATTAAGATAAAAACTGACATATTCCTTGATTCACTCCCTCAACAACTGTCATTTTTATTTAGGAATCAGGGTTCTCACGGATTTGAAAAACCTAGAAATATTAAGAATTTTTAAAAATTAGAATTCTGGACCATGGGCATTAATCAAATCTGAAAGTGAAATAATTTTGAAAACCTTATCCCATGATCACAAACAAGTAGAAAAGTTATATAAATGCATTACTGAACCTTGAAGAAAATTCAGTTCTTGAATCTGAAACTACAGAATTTAGTAGTTTTGATTTAAATAAAATGTATATAATTTTAAAGTATTATAATTATGTGTGATTTAATTATGTGTATATATATATATATATATGTGTGTAATATATATAATTCAGTAAACATTGAAAATAATCCACTTTGTCATTACAGCAGAAGTACCACAAATATCTTAGGTATTTAAATATTGTTTTGGACAATGGGTTAGAGTGAATGCCTTCGAGTGAAAAAGGTTGAACCACTGTCCTAGAGCATTCATTGTATTGTCATCAAACTTGACACAGTCCAAACCTTTCTATCCGAAGATTATTGAAAGCTTTTTTTTATAGGCTGTCATGTCAAAACCATGCCTTAAAACAGTGGCTCCAAATATTTTACAGTGGCATAAAGCCTCCCATGCCAGGCATTTAACATCCTTCTCCACCTTCTCCAAGGTCCATTCCACCTTGGTTATATTGAAAAAATACACGTCTTTTACAATTTGACAACCTTGATGAAAGAATAAAGTCCCACTCATCACCTGTGCTAAAGTGTTTTTTTTTGTGTTCTTCCAGGAAACTCCACCAGTTAAGCCGCCCAACAGAAGAGCATGTGTGTCAGAGCGGTCGGTAAAGGAGGAGGAGGATGAGGACGAGGATGAAGAGTCTGATGAGGACGAGCCTGAGGATAAAGAGCCCGAAGAGAAGGACATCATGGAGAAAGTGGTCAAAAAAGAGATTAAGAAGGAGATGAAAGAGGAGGGTCTGGACAGCAAAGAGTGGGAACCAAAAGAGAAGGAGATGAAGCCAGAGCCTGAAGAAGAGACTCCTGCAGAGAAGGTCACAATGCTCATAATCACACAACTAGTTAGCTGCCTACCTAGACAGCGTTTTTGGAAATCAAAGGCACATTACGAGTCAAGCCTGCATCCAATTAGCTGATTTTAATTTTTTTAACAGAAAAATTCCACTTTTGCATGCTCTCCGTCTCACTCGTTCAAACATGAGTCTCGGACTTGTCGCGCATCCCAGGGTTATTCTGTGACCGTCTTTGTTAATAATATGTTGTGTACTGTTTTTCATAGCAGTCGAGATGTGTAAACATGGTGTTATTTCAGCAAGCCTCACGTGACCGTATCGGAGGAGTTCAGTCTGTCCCTCTTTTTCCATTCTGAACCAATGAGTATGACACACCTTTGACAGATTTGAACAGGCTATTGATGTGACAGTCAGACCTTCACATGCCAAAGATTGCAAAAATGCTGTTCCGGGCAACTCACTAGGTTTTAAGACATCCTAGTGTCTTTTTTTGTCTTTGTATCCAAATATAGGACATTTGCATGAGTTGTTATTCAAAAGCCATTGACTGTGTTCTCAGGCTGTAGAGGTGAAAGCCGATACCCCTGTGCACACGCCCTCCGGAGGAGAAGCACTTCCCCTGTCTGAGGAGTCTGAAGAACTGGACCAGAAAACCTTCAGCGTGGTGAGTTTGTGGCGTCTCACTGAATGTTTTATTTTAGACGGCCAATTCTCAGGCTGAAGCCTTATTTACACTTTCTGGAAGGCGTCACTAAGTGAGTGACTGCACAGATACTGTTTAAGTATCTATACTGCACCGACACTATTTAAACTGAGCTGAGCTGGATGATGACATCACTGAATTCAATGATGAACTATAGTGGTTAAACGGATCGCAGTTGATCCGTGATTCGTATGAACCAAGCCCCACGGTTCGGCACGCATGTGGTCCGCGGATTAATTGCAAAATTTAACCTTAATAGAGTGAAAGATTATCAATTGTACATTTTTACACACGCAAGCGATTTTAAACCATTCTAGCGAAAGAAACGGCGAAATGGAACTCGATTCGTTACTCGCGGGCTGTTTTCTATCACACCCGCACATGAAGCTCGCACACGCAGATAGGCGCGTTTGACTGCACGCGAACACCGAACTGAACCATCTTTCCTATCTCATTCACTCCTTGCCTTTGAACAGATGCATATACACATACAATTATGACAAAATACCGATCTCGACAATCATTGTGGCAAATGCAGTCTGTTGTGTCTTAAGCAGTGTTTGGGGGTAACTCATTCCAAGTAACGCGAGTTACGTAATCAGATTACTTTTTTCAAGTAACTAGTAAAGTAACGCATTACTTTTTAATTTACAAGAGAATATCTGAGTTACTTTTTCAAATAAGTAACGCAAGTTACTTTTTTTTCCAATTTATTGACTGACAGCTCTCCTGTCCCCATGTTGAGAGAAATCAGAAGATGTTACTGTAGTTCAAAATAAATATGAATATGCATTAATTCATCTCACTCACAAAAAACCCCCGTACTTTCCCTTCAGCCTGAGGCTTATTCATTTCACTTTTGGTGTGAAAAGGTTTTTATATTTGCCAAAAATAGAACTTTTTTATTTTAAAAACAAACAAGCAAGCCCTGTCCAGATTTAAAAAGTAACGCATTACTTCCCATAGAAAGTAACCAAGTAACGTAATTAGTTACTTTTTTTACGGAGTAACGCAATATTGTAATGCATTACTTTTTAAAGTAACTTTCCCCAGCACTGATCTTAAGTGAACGAGAAGAGCTGTGAAAGAAATCGGATGTGTATCATTAGGCTATATTGGATCCGTGCATCAGATCTTAAAGGGGCAGCAGCCTAATAATACCTGCTGCTGTCATTATGCTCATCAAACCACAAAACACATTTTTGACTAAGATGAATCTATTTTTAATTTATTCAGTGAACACTATGCAGTTTTATTTTACACTTAATTATTACATTTCTGTATCTGAATACTACCGACCTTATTTGTAACATTGTTCTGTTGTATTTATCTATGCTTGTAATTTGTGTAGCCTATTTGTTCTTATTTTTACTGGCTGTTCACTTGTCTATTTAATAATGGTTGAGCCTTCTTAGGCTAAGAGTTTTTGCTGTGGTATCGTACTTATGGAAAGCAAAGTTACATAGATTTTTTTTTCTTGCTAATCCGAAAAACGATCCGATCCGTGGCTCAAAAACCGTAATATGATCCGAACCGTGAGATTTGTGATCCGTTGAACCACTAATGAACTGCCTTTAACTGAAAATTGAGTGTTTACTATTGTCATTTTGCATTATTGACACACTATTTTCCTATTTAATGCTGTACAGTTGCTTTAACACAATCTGTATTGTTAAAAGCGCTATATAAATAAAGGTGACTTGACTTGAGTGGCTCTGGTGAGATGATAACCCTGTCGACTTACTCTTTGCTTAAAATCACTGGAAGCTGATGGGATGGATTCTGATCCATTCTAATCCAAACCTATCCTCAAGAAAATTCAAAGCCACATCGCAAACACTAATTCACTAAAGTGATTTAGTAACCACTGTTCTTCCTGGGTACTTAAACTTAAGTGGTTAATAAGAATGCAGACTGCTCAGTTTTTGGTGAAATTTGCCTTTTTTTTTGTTTTTTTTGCCAAGTATGCAGATCACTTGGTTTCATACAGAGCTGATGTCTCATTTTATAAATGACATTGGTGTGAGCTGATTGCATCTGTATCGTGTGCTTGTCAGTGTAAGGAGCGCATGCGGCCGGTGAAGGCAGCACTCAAGCAGCTGGATCGTCCGGAGAAGGGTCTGTCTGAGCGCGAGCAGCTGGAGCACACGCGTCAGTGCCTGATCAAAATAGGAGATCACATCACCGAGTGTCTGAGAGAATACACCAACCCCGAACAGATCAAACAGTGGAGGAAGTACGGCCATTTCATCAGCAGCTTAGAATGCACAATATATAAACGAATGTTAATATTGAGTTTATCAATACCTTGTTTATTCCCAAATTCCAGAAATCTGTGGATATTTGTTTCGAAATTCACGGAATTTGATGCAAGGAAACTGCATAAACTATACAAACACGCCATCAAGAAAAGACAAGAAAATGCTCAGGTATGGACACAATGTTTTCAAAGATTCTCTGTTATGGTAGTTACGTTTGTATGTTTTTGCTGAATTAGTGTCCATAGCTGTAATAATATTATTCATATCTTTTATCTTTGGGATATCATAAGTGTGCGATGTTTGTTTCGTTTCAGGCAGTGGAGCAGAACACTAGCACTGTAAATACACAAAGCTTTAAACATGCAGGTATGTCTGCTCTCCGTTTTGTGTCCATTTAATTGGTGATTAACTTCCATGCATATTGCACATTTGATCTTAAAGTCTCATAAAATCTAAAAATCACCCTATTTTCTAAACTCGTTTTGTGAATGATTCATCCATCCATGCATGTTTGTTTTTCATCAAAATGTCATCTCTTGATGATCTGATGTAACAGCATCTCTCTGGTGACGTATGCTGTAATCACTTGTGTATGTAATCTTCTTAAACCCCCTTTTTAATATAGACTGAGCTCTCATTCAGATCTGCTTCTGTCTAGTCAACAGCCGATGGATGAACCAAGTCCCTGTCCAAATTTTTTTCTCTTCTCGATAATGTTTCTCTTGGATCTACGTCATATGAAGAAAAGATCTGTTGCTACTGCAGCTTTAATGGTGTATGGATATTGCCACATTTCTGCTAATCTGTTACACTGAATGCTGTTGTTTTTGTAGATGTTGAGCGGATAAAGGAGTCCCAGCAGGACGACAGCAGCAGAGACAGCTACAGCTCTGACAGACATCACTCATCTCGCTACCATGAACACAGCAAAGATCGGCACGCTGGCGACTCGTACAGGAAGAGCTCCGATGCCAGGAAGAGACCCTACTCCTCCTTCAGCAACGGCAAAGACCACCGAGAGCGAGAGAGAGACCAGTACAGAGAGAGAGGAGAGCGACAGGACAGCAGGTCATTACACGCGCTTTTCTGTTTGCCTTTACTCTAAAAATGTGCTTAACATTAGCAGCTTATACAGTCTTTGGTACAAATGCAGCTTTTTGCATTTTGTGGATGGGGTGATTTGTATGAAACACATGACATGCAGGGAAAAAACAGGATATTGTGGCTACAAATTAATTTGTTCCCTCATTTTAGGTCAATTGTGGCCATGATTTACCAATTACACAAGTTTTTTAAACTTACAATTGACCTAAAATGTGACCCTGGACCGCAAAACCAGGCATAAAGGTCAATTTTAAGAAATTGAGATTTATAGATCATCTGAAAGCTGAATAAATAAGCTCTCCATTGATGTATGGTTTGTTAGGAGAGGACGAGATACAACTATTTGAAAATCTGGAATCTGAGGGTTCAAAAAAATCAAAATATTGAGAAAATCATCTTTAAAGTTGTCACTGGCCAGTAAATGCTTAAAATTTAACTTGCAATTGGCATTGGACAATGACATGTTTTTTCTGATAATTATAAGGTTTCATATTTATTATTGGTCTTGCCTTAATTCTCTTTTTTGGGTGAACTATCCCTTTGTGTCATCATTTACTCACCTTCCACGTGTTCCAAACCTTATGAATTTCTTTCCTCTGTTGAACACGAAAGAAGGTAATTTGAAGAATGTTGGTAACCAATCAGTTGCTGGCAGCCATTGACTTCCATAGTATTTTTTCCCATACTATGGAAATCAATGGCTACCATTACATCTGCAGTTCCTAGATGTGCAAGGTTGAATTTCTTGAGCACTAAAAGAGAATTTGAATCGATATCAAACTAAACTTTTAAAAGTACATTTTCTTGAATTTATTTAAATATACAACAACTAATGTTCATATATATACTCTGAGATCATACAGAGCGTTATTTGATGTTCTTACATTTTTGAATTTCAAGTTGTTTGTTTTGTGAGTTAAAGGTCATGTGATGTGTCATGCTTGAGTGTATCGTCACCATTGACTGATTTTGCAGATACTACAGCGACAGCAAGCACAGGAGGCTAGACGAGCACCGCTCCAGCAGAGAGCACCGCTCAGAAAGCAACTCCAAGGACAGGACTCACTCCGAACACCGCTTCCACTCTGAGCACCGCTCTGCCTCCGACTACACGCATCACAAATCGTCCCGGGACTACCGCTACCATTCAGACTGGCAGATGGAGCACCGGCCGCGCTCTCCCCGAGACCAGCGCTCCCCATACGACTCTCGCTCTCCGCTGGGACACCGCTCGCCCTTCGAGTACTCGTCTGACCACAGAAGCACACCCGAACAGAGCGGCCGCAAGACATAACACTCTCCGCTCCGCGCCGCTCGCTTCTGATTAGCCATAGACACACAACACACAGGAAATGCCTTAGGGGACTGTCGGCCGCTGCACTGGGGCTCTGGGAGTGCCACCCTTTCCTACTCACCTTCGAGAAACACAGATCACATATTTTTGTATTTAAGAGTTAGCTGCATTCTTTCGTAGGTGTTGCAGATTAATTGTTTTTTATTATTATTTTTATAAATTGACTACTTTCCCTTTTGTTTTTCTGTTTATATATTTTTTTTTACTTGGATCCGGACATACAGCCGTATGTAAACGCGACGCAGCTTATTTAAGAAGTGTTGAGTGAAAGGATGCTACAAACGCGTGTCGTCTTTATCCGCTGAGGGGTTTCTGTTCTGAAGGACTGGGGCTCACCTTCCAAAGTACCTCGTTTACAGTGTTTTGTGACCATTTTACCAATTTTTCTTTGTAATTTTTCTTTCCATCATGCTTGAATTATTTAAATCTGTCTCGGCTGTAAAATAATCTGGACTATTTTTAGTGCGCATCAGATAATGTCACTTTTTCCACATTGTACTACTGTAAATTATTGTATAAAGTAAATCAAATGGGCTTTTCTCAGGCTGGTATTTTTTTAACTATTTCCCCATCGACTCAGGCTATTTCCTCTCTTCTTTGGTTTTTTTGACGTTTCTTAATCTCAGTAGTTTTGAATCATGAAATGGGGTAAATATTCCACGTGTATTCGTTCTGTAGGATCGTTTGGTTTGTTGATCTCCTCTCTGGTTTCTCTCTATCTGTAAGTGAATTGGCCTCACTTTATAACAGCATCATGTCAAAAAATACAAACTCTGTAACAAAAAAAAGGACATGAAAGGGTCGATCGTAGCTAGAGGCACTTATGAGCTCTCCTTAGAACATTTCCATGATGATCTTTCCTCTTGTTTTCTATAAATGTTGGCAATAATGTAATATTTTCTATGCAGCCCGAGTAAGTCAGAATGCTGTTACAGGACATACTGATGTACATAGATCTCCTTCTATATTTCAAATCCAAATTTACACTGAAAATGCATGGATTTTTAAAGTAATTGTTTTATATAATTGTTTATAAAGTCATTAAACTCAAATCACTGTTTTCACCTGTAATCTGGCTTTAATGTAATTTAG